CATCTTACCATCATTAATGTGTGAATGACTGAATATAATGTAGATCCCCTGACCACAGTGTTTTCATAGCATTTCATAGCATTTTGCCCTGAAAATGCTGTAGTTGATCTATTCAGTTTAAGTTTTTCTTTTTTGCATCATGTTAACAACAGAAATAGTTTTCAATTTTTCCATGATTGAACCTGGGGTTCCACAACACCGCCACAATGTTATTGCTGCACAAAAAGAAGGTAGAGGGAGCCAAGGATCAACCCTCAGCCCTTTGACGATGTGGGCCCAATTACATAGGGTCACCCTACTTTCCGTGAAGTGAGGGAAACCGTTACACAATTGTTTGAATAGATTAACCACCACTGTTCCCAGCAACCTAAATTTGTTTTTACATTCATGCTGATTTTGCACAGTTTCTATCTTAGTCAGTTCAATAACATGCTGCTGTTATTTTGCACATCTCTGATGTTGCTGCTATTTTCAAATATCCATTACTGTATAAAATGTCCATAGCTGTATATTGGCTATTTATTCTCCGGTCTTATATTGTTAAAACTCTTTACAGTACAGTATTTTATTGTTTATCTTTTATGTCTTCACTATTATGTTATTCTTATACACTTTTCTAAACTCCATATCTGTGTGACAATTTTTTCTATAATCCTTTTGCTGCTGTAAACACCAGAATTTCCCCATTGTGGGACAATAAAGGGATGTTCTATTCTATTCTATTCTAAAAAAAAAAAAAATTGTTTTGTGTTTAATGCACTTTATTTCGTTTTATTTCCCCTATCTCAGCAAGGAAGAAGGACTAAAACACATCAATTATGCTTGCATCTTGATCAAAATGTTTGAATTTGAGAAGGTGTTGACCAGAACAATACTATTTCTAAAGTCGGATACTGAAATGATATGTATACCTGTAACAGTCATTACCTGCTTTGCACAAAGTCTTCATTTTTAACTAAAAATGTTCAGTCCATCACAGTTTTTCTCATTTGAATGTTCTGTATTAAATTTTCCGGTCCAGGCTAATTTGGTAGAGGGCTCTCATTTGACCAGTTGCACCCTGAAACCAGTAAAACATGAAGCAAAGAGATTAAAGCACAAATCTGTATAAACCAGGAAAGAACATAGATGAGAAAGAATAGCATTAATCTCTGTTGCTTTTTAACGTTTAATTTTTGAACAATGTTCTATAGCAGGAGAGTAAATATCCTTTATGTCCTTCCCTTTTAGGCAGGGAGGATGATACCTTACCTTTTATGGGTCTCTTTTTGTCCCAGGTGCTTCCCCCAGTGGATGTGGAGGCTTGGGGCTCCACTTGGGGTGGATTTTCTTCCTTCAGTTTTAAAATAGCAGTGGCAGCAATGACTTATTAAATATTTAACACTTTAGTTGACACACTCTAGGTGTGGACCACTGCGGTTCAGTTACACCCATGTCACTACCACAAGTTCACGCAAACAAAGTGTAAAAGTTGATACCTCCACGTCTCTCAGAGGAAACAGTGACTCCTTGTCTCCCACCACAGACAAGTCTACCACCTGTAGATACAGTACAGCAATCTGTTAGCCATGTGCCAGCATTCACGGCTCATATGCTGCTGTGTGTGACACACTTCTAGCAGAGACACACTCTGGCACCACCAATCCTAAAGTATCCCCAGGAAGTTAAAGGCTTGTGTTGGCAATGGTGTTCTGAACTGCGTTTGGTATAATTGTGAGTATAACAAACCCAAATGTACACGTAAACAGATTAATCTGATCTGAACTGTCAAAATTCTTGTCATGGACACATAATTTCAGCTCTATGTCAGTTAGGAAACCAACTCCCCGTCCATTATGGGGTGAACATTGTTGTTTTAAAGGGCTAGCTCCTGTGCAGGGGTGAACTCCAGGGCAGGACCTCCAATGCCTGTCTGCCTTTGACTATTCTTCATCTTGTTAGCTGTAAAAGTATAAATGAGAAGGAGAAATGTTACACTGAAGCTGCACCCATGGGGAATTAATGGCAAACCGCCAGGTTAAAAAATCGATTACTAGGAAGAAACTTCCTGTGATGACTAGCATTCAGTTTCACTCTCATACAACTCTCTGCTCTACCAGGCAGAAAGGGACGTGATCAATCTTGTATTTCACACGTCCCTTTCTGCCTGGTAGAGCAGAGAGTTGTATGAGAGTGAAACTGAAATGCTAGTCATCAGAGGAAGTTTCAATTAGGTAGCAAAGACATTCTTTCAATTTAGGGCTGCTTGTTGTTTGAGGGCTTTTACTTTTTAAAAGAAGAGTAGAATTTTGCCATTTGTCCTCGCTGAATTCTAACGCAGCTTTAAAATCCGAATGATTTCACTTCTTGTATCAATACGATGCAATTGCTACACCAGCTTCCAGCTTTATTGCAACCCAAACGTTATTGAATAAAAAAGCCCAACTAACCAGATGCAATTATTTTTTTTTGTGTTTTTTTAATCTGCTCCCAAGGGTTACATCTGGGGATGAGACATATGCAGTACAGTGATTGGGGTGCAGGCTGTGTTCAGTGACACTGATGTGTACCTTTAACGCACAGCAATCCTTTGCCTCGCTATCAGGCATTTCTTTGATGCTGCCACTGTGTTTAACTTTTCATTGAGACTTTTGTTTTCCTCTCTTTATTTCTGTAAGATAAGTTTTATATATGGCGCTCTCCCTTCTGCGCTCATGGTTGTGATGGCCTGCAACCTTGAACCCACCCCTTTATATGTGTGCGTTCACAGATTTATGAGTTAGCGATTGCCATTGTTGTAGATAATTTCAACAGGCAGTAATCCTGCTAGGTTGAGTTCACTTTGCAGGCCTCTGGAGATATAAGCAAATTAACATTGGACACAATAACAGTTCAGCTGTAAGTGTTGTTCTCCTCTGCAGAGTAAAATAAAACAATTTCTTTCTTGCATATCAACTCTCAGTGCTCATTTTACTTCACAGTATTTAGTGTAAAATCTCCCTATCCATGTGAGCAATGACTTTTGAAAGCTGATCCCAAAACAGCTTCTTCCCCACAGCCACCAGACAGCTGAATGTTGAAAAAATGGAAAAACTGAAAAAAAAAAAGTGTGGAAAAAAAGCTGAATGTTTAAAAAAACCAACTCTAAATCATGTTACAGTCCCTGCAACAAACTGACCATATCAATGCTTTTTTTTTGCACCATGTTTCTTCTTCTCCCAATGTTTACATTTTATCACTGCTGCACTTTAAGAAATGGAGATGCCATGAGAGCTGTACAAAATGAAAATTCGTTTTGTATACACTGTGTATACAAAAGGATAATAAAGTTTGTTTAGGTCTATGACTAAATCTTGGCTCATCTAGAAATATCACATTCCTAATGTGTTTGACAAAATATTTATCATAATTCACTTCCTTTTTTTCTGAATGTTTGTTACAATCCTGCATCTCTTCATCTCTATAGCCTGTTTAAATGGCACTGAATTATTTTTCATTTTTCCTTTTTCCATGTAAACAAAGCATATACTGTCATGGTCTTGATGCTGTTGGTTGGAAATTTCATTTACACCTGTCATCTGTCTAATTGGCCTGGCGACTCAATACGCTCATATTGTCCACCTGGTTTCTGCTGCTGTTTATGCTTCCTGTTTGCCTACCATTGGTGCCAGATTATTCGAGCTGTTTGGTTGTGTTGGTCTAGTGATCTTGTATTTGTTCTGTAATTCTGATTGGGACTGTTTCTGCCTTTGGATAACCGAGTTTTGCCTTGCCTTTTACAGTTTTTTTTTTTTTTGGGCTGATTTCTGGATTCTGCTGGTTAACTAAACTTGGACTGTGTTACTGACCTTAGCTTGGATTCTCCTCTGGTACCTCTTTGGCTCTCTGATCTTCCGGTCTGTAAACCTGGTTCTTATTTCACTTTGCTTCTGGATTTTCCCTCACGGACATTGCTGCCTCCTCGGCGTCCACTCTGAGCTCTGAAAGCGGCACCGGCCGCAAGCAGTGGACAACCTCCCTCTCTGATTCTTCTCCTTCCTCTGGGATCAGACTGGACTCAGAACCAGGTCAGTGACTTTTGCTCTTAGTAGTAGTGATCAGCTCCGTATTCTTAGTTACTGACCTGAGATTTCTATCCCTGCAGAGAATCCAGGCATCCGCCCCCCTGACGACCACCTGCACGCGTTATTTAGAGTTAAATAAAGGCTTGTTTGAAAATCGTCCTGATATGTCTCTTTCAAATAATGGGTCCAAGGTTCTGAGGGCTTGAAATTTACAGTTAATTCCAATTCAATTGATGTGTTTTCTATAATTACTGAAATTGAATATCCATTTTATGGTTAATTTGTGTTTAGCTGCTGAGCTGTATCTTTTACCATCAAGGGAGATAAGCCTCCTCTCCCAGCTAATGTGCTTGATCTGAGCCATGTTAGCATGGAAGACAGATACAGAACAGTGCGTAAAAAGGGGTTGGTGTTAAATGTTAAAAGATTAAATAAATACCACGCTTCTAAATAAACAACCCCTGCCCTAGGGCAGGAAAAAGTGTTTTTAATGATTGCCTTGAAGCACAGACAATATCATTACAGTACTGATTCTGGAAACAGCCAGGCTGGTTAAAGGTTAGGTTTGTTGTGTTTTCACTCTCATGCAGAAAGTCCCTTTCAAGCCGGTTAGTCTACTTCTCCACATAATCTCCCAAAATCTCTATAATGTCAATAATGGTTGATTATTTGTCATTAAAATTAATTAAAAACTTAAAAAGAATCATATAAGCTTTAATATATTACAGGAAGGTAATAATACATAATATTTAAATGAGGCTTGAAAAAAAAACTCCCTTTATGGGAATCAAGCAGTGTTATAAAAACCAAACCAACACATGACAGAAAACAGAGAAATCTTAAATGTTTAATTTATTTAACTTGTATAAAACCAGATAATCATGACTAAAATCCACACGTTTAAAGCAGAGATATTTTACAACCACAAATTCAAATCAAAAGCCTTGAAGCATTAAGTTATGATTCCCCCCCTTTTGTCCTGTAGGCATTTACCAGTACGCCACAAACAAAGAAAAGGAGCAGCATGATGAGAACTATGGTGGATGTCTTCCAAGATTTGATCTGTTCATTGCAACTCTGTAGTTCGAGGAGGAGGAAATATAAAGTTTATCATTACAATCAGACACCGTAAGGTTTTCAGATTCTCCTTACAATAAATTGTGTAATACTCACATTTCCAACTTGGACGGTCAATCTCACAGCAGCAGGGTTCCCAGATTGTTTCCCATGTTGATCTTGGACATAGCAGAAGTAATCCCCACTATCCCCAGGCTGAACATTCTCCACAGTCAGTGACAGGTTTCCATGTGTGGACCAGTCCCTTGACACAGACAGTCTTTCTCCGGGTTTCCTGGTGCAGCCATCAGGACTGTTCACACACAGAGGATGTCCATTTTTCTCCCACTGGACAGTCAAACCATTTTTCCCAGTGGTTTCAAAGTAACAAGGGAGGAGCACCGTCTCATCCTTCGCCACAGACGCTTCCCATGCAAGAACAACCTCTAGCTGGAAGCGTTCCTCTCTCTTGTTGTCAGACTTGGAGCAGCTCAGCTCATAGATTCCTCCATCGGCATAAAGCACGTTAGTGAAGATGATCCTTGAAGACTGGATGTTTACCCGGTCTCTGTGCTTTATCACCGACCACTCTCCGCTCTGAAATGTAGCCAGTGTCAGGGTACCACCTTGTCCCAAAACCCGCAGCAGAGTCCCTGATTCCTCCGGCTCACAGCTTATGGGAAAGATAAACTGATCTCCTAAGATCACTTTCATACAGCTCACAACATTTAGACAAAGAGCAAGGAAGATAATAAACGTACTTAAAAGTCCTGATAGCCGTGGTGCCATTATGATCTTCTTGTTCTTTCAGGAAATGCTCCAAAAGGTCATTCGTTTTGTGCAATTGGCAAAAAATATATATTCAGCAGATGCTAAATGTACAGAAATACTCCAGGATTTTTTCCCCTTCTGTTGTTGAGGTATTGCTCACTGCTCAGCCTCAGCCATGTTAATGGCAGCACTTTGAAATGTATTAGTCATCCTTCAGGCTATGCGGCCAATCGCCTATGAGGATATATCATCGTCATACCATCAAGTGAAATCAGAGAAGGAAGGTAATGGAGCAGACCTAATGCGGGTCAGACCTAACAGCATTGATTTACCAGTGTATATACTGAAGTGTAAATATTTTAAGGCAGCTCTTCTAAGGGCAGTCACAGGGTGCAGTTTTAGCTACTTTAGCTCTGCTTTGCAGGCTTTCAGAGGAAAGTGATTGCACAACTATGATACACATTTCAAGGGCATGTGATAAGAAAATTACACTATTTACATTGCTGAACAGAACAATTATTAGAAACCAATAAGGTGTATTTTAATTTTCTGGAATTGAAATCTCTTTGAAGTCTCAGTGTTGGTGGATCTTGGCCAATATGCCAATTCAGCAATTAAAGCCCCTATTCTGACAGAGCTATAACCATGTTTGATCTCTAAACAAAGTCTGTGTTCATTGAACTACTAATAAGAGCACAGAAAGATATAACAACCAAATACAAACAGCATTCTTTTAAAAGAATCTATGTTTTAATAATCAAGAATTAAATGCCATCCAAACTAACTGGCTAATGTCATACATTTATAATAACAAGACAAAAAAACAATCAATATGCAACAAGAAATTAGTGAAAACTGTCATGATCTTGACACTGATGGCAGGATTTGGTTCATCTCCTCCACCTGCTTAGCTCTGCCCAGCTCTCATTGTCACTCCTCAGATCGACCTGTTCCTGTTTCGTATTTAAGCTGCCTGTTCCCAGCAGTCAGTGCCAGATTGTTCGAGCCGAGTGTGAGAGTTCTCTAGTGCACCAGTGTGTATCTGATTACCTGATCCTGACTAGTTTCTGCCTCTGGAGGTCTGAGTTTTGGTTGCCCCAGTTCTGCTCTGTGTGCCTGATCCGTTCTTGGACTGTTACCTGGATTCTGCCTATTTATGACCATGGTTCTCTCTCTTGTCCCTGGCTTGGAAACTCCTTTGTTACTTCTTCGGATCTCTGATCTTCTGGCCTGGATACCTGGTCCTGCTTTGACTCTGTCTTTGGATTATCCCTCTGGATTTTTCTGCTCTTCCGCTTCTGCTGGCTTCTGCTTGTCAGTCTGCTCTGCTTCTCTCCTGGAACTCTGTGGGTCGCTCCCTCCGCATGCTGCGGAGAACCAATCCTTGTGGAATCCACTACTTCCTCTGGGCTCAGACTGAACTCATAATCAGGTTAGTGCATTACCTGTTCTTTTATACACAATCCATGCCCACACTTCCCCCTTTAACGTTCTCATGGTGGTCTCAACAACGTCCGCAGTAACAACACACATAAGGCGCACCGCACTATAGAGCGCGCCGCACATTTTAAGGGGAAAAAATATGCGCCTTATAGTCGTGAAAATACGGTAAACTGATGAAAGAGACCTGGACAAAAATGATGGTACCGTTAATATTTCACAGTAATGAAATGATTCCTGTAACGGCCAGTGAGACACCTGCTCCTCTCAGCAGGTATTCTGATCCCCTCCTCATGAGTAAACTGCTCCATTGTCTCAGTCTTGAAGGAGCCCTTCAAGGCATGTTTCAACTCCTTAAAACGGCATTTAGTTCAGTGCTTATTAAAGTCCAATGTTTTCCTCTTAGCCATTTTTGGGGGGTTTTAGTTGTGGGTTTTGGGTCATTACCAATGACCAGAGACTGAGAATGAGCTTTCTGACACTGGGGCAGCAGAATTATCTCTCAAATAATCTAATAGTCTTCATTTTATTGAACCCTGCAGGGATTCAAGACACCTTACAGTAGATTAACAAAATCAGCCCCAGAGCATAACAGAGCCTCCTCCATGTTTCAAAGTAGGGACAGTGATCCTTACTTGATATGCTTCATTTCCCCTCTGTAAACATAAACATGTACCTTAGTACAAAGGTCATTTTTTGTCTAAAACCATGGAAAATTCCATTCTGGCTTTTCCATGGTTTGCTTTTTTGTTTTCTGTTTTTGCTATCCAACAATAGTGTCCTCCTTGGTTATCCCCCATTAGGTCCACATGGGTTCAAACAGCTGAAACACTATATTACTTCTTATAAAAGGATGAAAATGTGATCAACATTTTCTTTTTTTTACCATTTTAAATTGAACATTCGACTATTTTCTAGGTTTAAAGCAATTTTGACACATTTTTTGTTATATTTTTTTGTCCTGTCTGGCAATGTGGGAAAAAGAATAATTGTCTTGATGCCAAAAACAGCCAAACAGATTTTGCTTTCCCAAGTGGAGCAGTAGAGCTTTTGCTATAGTGTTGATTCATACATGTAAATTTTGTTATTATAATTCATGCATATAATTACAGATTATATGGACACTGCAATGGTACAGTAGAACAGGAAAGGAAAAACAGGAAAAGGAGATAAGATGAAAGAAAAATGAGATAAAAGGGAGACAATGATAAAACGTCTTCTGTCTGCTTCATCACCTGCAAAGAGAGATGTAAAAAGAAAATATTTGTTGATTTTACATATTTGGTTCACTTGTATCTGATAAAAAAAAATATAGAAGTGAGAGACTCAGAGGATACGACGGAGTATTGGGGCCTGGCTAGAGTTTTTTTTTTTCTATTTCGAGAATAAAGACTTAAAATTACAAGAATAAAGTTGTAATAACACGGGAATAAAGACATAACATTACGAGAATTAAGTCATCATAACACAACCCATTTCAGAAAGAAAGCTTCAAGCTCCGACCAGAATATGGCGGCCAACCAGCACCACCAAACAGTAACCTGAGTCTACTTTGAACTACTGCCTAATTTGGTGCTAGCGTGGTAAAAGATTTCCTTATTTGTCAAACCAGAGCCAAAGTATAACTTCACATAATGCTCAACATTCCTCATTTTAGGGAAGAAAATGCTTCTTGTAAGAGTTGTCATAAAATAAGACTTGTTTCTCGTAATTTTAGGACTTTATTCTCTTACTAGTACGACTTTATTCTTGTAATTGTATGACTATTCTCGTTGTGACTTTTTTCTCGTATTATTATGACTTAACTCTCATAATTTTTACGAATTTATTCTCGTAATTTTACTTTTTTCTCTTAATGTTACGACTTTATTCTTCTAATTTTACGACTTTATTCTCGTAACTTTGACTATTCTCATTGTGACTTTTTTCTCGTATTATTACGACTTTACTCTCATAATTTTTACAAATTTATTCTCGTAATTTTACTTTTTTCTCATAATGTTACGACTTTATTCTCGCTATTTTACGACTATTCCCAGTGTGACTTCTTTTCTTGTATTATTACAACTTTACTCTCAAAATTTTACAAATTTATTCTCATAATTTTATGAACTTATTCTCGTAATTTTACTTTTTTCTCATAATGTTATGACTTTATTCTCATTATTTTATGACTATTCCCATTGCGACTGTTTTTCTCTTAAAGCTACAGTGTGTAATTTTCAGCGACATCTAACGTCCAGACTGCAGACCGCAGCAACATGAACATCTCCCCCCCACCGCTTCTCCCCCCCAACAGTACGGCGAGCGTTACGGGACAAAATGTCTTCCACAACGTCCGCATCACCTACCTTATCAAATGATGAGGTTTGTTTACATAGATAATTTTACAGATAGTATTTCATTACTCTGTGTAGGGTATAGATTTCAGTACCGTCTCAGTTCATCTCTCTCAATTTGCCGTAGTTACTTTCGAGCGTAATCTCGCAAACGCTAGTTTGTTGGCTCTGCGCTGCCGTAGCGCAAAGATGTCTGCCTCCATGGCTGCGAGACCCGCTCCTATTTAATTATAAATAACGAATTCTAAGGCAACGCAAATATTAAGGTTAAGAGGCTGAGCTCGTAGATGATGATAGATAACATAGTTATGTATAATATATTACATTTCTGACTGTATATCCCTGAAATTATTACACACTGTAGCTTTAAGTATGGCTTTAGTCTCATAATTTTATTAATTTATTCTCATAATTTTACTTTTTTCTCATACTGTTACGACTTTATTCTCCTCATTTTATGACTATTCCCATTGTGACTTTTTTCTCGTATTTTTACGACTTTACTCTCATAATTTTATGAATTTATTCTCGTAATTTTACTTTTTTCTCATAATTTTACGATTTTATTCTCATAATTTTATGACTATTCTCATTGTGACTTTTTTCTCGTATTATCATGACTTTTCTCTCCTAATTTTACGACTTTATTCTCGTAATTTTATGACTATTCTCGTTCTGACTTTTTTCTCATATTTTTACGACTTTACTCTCATAATTTTAAGAATTTATTCTCGTAATTTTACTTTTTTCTCATAATTTTACGATTTTATTCTCATAATTTTATGACTATTCTCATTGTGACTTTTTTCTCGTATTATCACGACTTTACTCTCATAATTTTACAACTTTATTCTTGCATTTTACATTATTCTCGTAATGTTACGACTTTATTCTTGTATTTGTACGACTTTATTCTCGTGATTTTGTGACTATTCTCGTTGCGACTTTATTCTTGTAATTTTACGACTCTGTTTCCGTAATATTATGACTTTATTCTTGAAAGAGAAGAAAGAAGGAAAAAAATCTCTAGCCTGGCCCTAATACTCCGCCATACAAATAACGCCCCAGGAGACCTGCTATCTGAAAAAACAAACAAACGAAAACGAAAAAAAAAAATATGACAGCATAGCAATGCCATATGTTATGAAACTCTCTCTCTCTCTCTCTCTCTCTCTCTCTCTCTCTCTCTCTCTCTCTCTCTCTCTCTCTCTCTCTCTCTCTCTCTCTCTCTCTCTCTCTCTCTCTCTGTGGCGTGTAAAGAAAAAAAACTTTAGGCTCCACTAAACAGAGCTCGCCTTTGCAGCGCAGAGCGAATCTCTACGCCGCCGACTTAGGTCCGTTCACTTTGCGGATCCAGTTTGCAGAAATAAAATAATAATGGAAGTTCATCAAATGGATCAGAGGAACTTCACTTTTCACCGGAGATCGTCGGTCCGCGCCTCGTTCTCAATCTTTCTTCTCTTTTTCCTGCTGTCGCTTCTGTCAGGTATTTAGCTGATCATGATTTTATAAACAATTATTTACATTATTTTTATGGATATTTTATGAAAAGGATCGGTTGTTTTACAGGTGGTAGGGACATCGGGAAGGGCCTTTACCAATTTACAGCACAGGCCCGGAGCCCGTTCACATCGCGCAGATCATCGAGTTAAATTATATAGACCTATAAGACCTAATTATGATTAAAAGACCCAATGCTCTAATAATAGACCTAATCTAAAAACAATACAAATTAAAAATCCATAATTAAGTGTTTCCTTATGTCTATTATTTAGGGCATTGATAAGCGCCTTGAAGTAGGCAAACAGGAAGTAGGTTATTCACAGTGAGTTTAATGTGTGGCCTTTTGATAACTGCTAAAATAAACAGTCGTTAAAATATGCAACAATAACTGGTTTTATTAAGCTTACAGTGGAAGTTTCTGCCTTTAATGTGTACTAGACGCCATGTAGTTGTTTTGGATAGGCTTATTTATTTATTTTATATGTTTGCAGTTGTTAAAATACACTGAGAGAATTTATAAGCTCTAAAATCACTAGTTCCTTAAGATTTGTGAAGACACCCTATTTTGGTGTATTTAAACGCTTCCTTAGATGTCAAATAGCACTTCCTGTAAATTTTATCACTTCCGTCACAGTTATAAATAGAAATGAACTTTAACACATATTCCCAAGTTAGAATCACTCTTACTCAGTCTGTTATACTGTAACAGTGGTGGTTCCAGACCAAATGTACCAGGGGCCCAGGAGGGGGCCAGCGTGTTTTCATGGGGGCACAGAAAAGCGTGACATAAAAAGCAGGGCAAGTGATTCAAATATTTTAAAGGGATCATAAATGGTCCTATATACACTCACCGGCCACTTTATTAGGTACCCCATAATAGTAACGGGTTGGACCCCCTTTTGCCTTCAGAATTGCCTCAATTCTTCGTGGCATAGATTCAACAAGGTGCTGGAAGCATTCCTCAGGGAGTTTGGTCCATATTGACATGATGGCATCACACAGTGGCTGCAGATTTGTCGGCTGCACATCCATGATGCGAATCTCCCGTTCCACCACATCCCAAAGATGCTCTATTGGATTGAGATCTGGTGACTGTGGAGGCCATTTGAGTACAGTGAACTCATTGTCATGTTCAAGGAACCAGTCTGAGATGATTCCAGCTTTATGACATGGCGCATTATCCTGCTGAAAGTAGCCATCAGAAGTTGGGTACATTGTGGTCATAAAGGGATGGACATGGTCAGCAACAATACTCAGGTAGGCTGTGGCATTGCAACGATGCTCAATTGGTACCAAGGGGCCCAAAGAGTGCCAAGAAAATATTCCCCACACCATGACACCACCACCACCAGCCTGAACCGTTGATACAAGGCAGGATGGATCCATGCTTTCATGTTGTAGACGCCAAATTCTGACCCTACCATCCGAATGTTGCAGCAGAAATCGAGACTCATCAGACCAGGCAACGTTTTTCCAATCTTCTATTGTCCAATTTCGATGAGCTTGTGCAAATTGTAGCCTCAGTTTCCTGTTCTTAGCTGAAAGGAGTGGCACCCGGTGTGGTCTTCTGCTGCTGTAGCCCATCTGCCTCAAAGTTCGACGTACTGTGCGTTCAGAGATGCTCTTCTGCCCACCTTGGTTGTAACGGGTGGTTATTTGAGTCACTGTTGCCCTTCTATCAGCTCGAACCAGTCTGGCCATTCTCCTCTGACCTCTGGCATCAACAAGGCATTTCCGCCCACAGAACTGCCGCTCACTGGATGTTTTTTCTTTTTCGGACCATTCTCTGTAAACCCTAGAGATGGTTGTGCGTGAAAATCCCAGTAGATCAGCAGTTTCTGAAATACTCAGACCAGCTCTTCTGGCACCAACAATCATGCCACGTTCAAAGTCACTCAAATCACCTTTCTTCCCCATACTGATGCTCGGTTTGAACTGCAGGAGATTGTCTTGACCATGTCTACATGCCTAAATGCACTGAGTTGCCGCCATGTGATTGGCTGCTTAGAAAGTAAGTGTTAACGAGCAGTTTGACAGGTGTACCTAATACAGTGGCCGGTGAGTGTATTATTTGGTGCTGGTCCTTATGGTCTCTGAATAGGGTGTGTTACATTGGTTGGGCTAAAAGTTCTAATGCAAGCCTGGTTAAGAGCACGTCAATGAAACGACAGGTTTTCTTCCATTTATGGTACGAGCATGAATATTTAGATGAGGTGTGCGCTGATTGGTTCACTGAATTTTTTTTTTTTGGCATTAACTTAATCATATGTAGTTACTTTAACACAATTGTTTCATGTTAGCAGGGTAGGACATAAAACAATTGTGTTAAAGTAACTAAATATGATTAATTAAATGCCAACAGCAGTTGCATTATTTTTTTCAGTGTTGGTTTACAACAGCCGAAGCTGCTGAGCAAAGACGCAACTTGGTTTTGGATTTTATGACCCCTTTAAGATAGCCAGTGGCGGAGCCAGAGGGGTGGCAGGATGGCATTTGCCACCCCCAACCGAGCCCTTGCCACCCCTACTGCCACCCCACTCGAAACGGTAATTTTTAAATATAATACTTATGAGATCGGCAAAGATTTGCCAGGAAAACCGTAATTTCCGACTGTCCCTGAAGGCAGTCCGATGCAGCAGCAGCCTACATGCTGCTCACTGACGCTGTTCATTGGTTAAGCTGACATGTGGCTCCTGCTTGATCCAAAACACACCCGCAGCTTAGAGAACACCATTGAGGAGTTTTGCAGGTATTTACAACATTTTACCGCTCAGCGGTAACCGCTGTGTTACCTTCCTAATGAGAGGCGGCACTTGTCATACATTTCTAAAAAGAAAAAAAAAAATGGTTGTGCACCGCTCCGTAGTGCCTCGTTTATACTACTGCTGATAGATTGTGTTTTAAACAGATTCTTTTAACATATGTTTTAGTGCACATGCTGCCCTGTAATGTTTTATTCATTTGGCCAGGATATATCTCCCAGCTCTTGCTTGAAACGTGTGTGGTAAAAATATGTGAAAAACCATTGTTAAAGCTGCAGTCTGTAACATTGAGGAGAGAGCAGACTTCGACTGAAAATTTGAAGGAAAACAGGTTTCACGCCACTCCCCCACCCTCTCTGCTTCACTCATGCCCCACCTCCAAGCTCCACCCCTCTCACAGCATCTGCGCGGCTACCGCATGCGACCAGAAGGGGGGGGGGGGGGGGCGGGATTCAGCGTGTGTGAGCTGTGATTGACACTCCATCAGACGCTCCTCTGGCTGTGATTGGTTGTTTTGACTCGTCCCGAATTATTCTTTCCAGAGTGAAATACAGGCAGTAGGCGGTACCAATTGAAGCAGTTTTTTTCACAGGTTACATATCACATGTACTGCTGCTGGGCATAGGGACAGTTTTAGCCAATATGACAAAAAAGTGATTTTTAAAAACTTACAGACTTCAGCTTTAAGTTTTATAGTGACTGAAATGTAAGTAGGCTATGTCATATGAAAGGTTTGAATTATAACCTAACTAGTTATATTAATTAATTTAATTAATCTATTTTTATTTTTTTATTATTTTAGCTAGCTACAGAAAACTAAAAACTATAGTTTAAATGATAGTTAAAATAGTGTTGTGCCAAACACTCATGGAGTTTAAATACCAGGCTGTCTTATTTCATGTAGAGCCCAAATGAAGAGAAAAGGAAAGATCTCCCAGTTCTTCTTAAAGAGGCAAAAACCAGGGCCAGACCAGGACCAGACAGAGCCCTGCAGCAGTGACCAACCTGGAGAAGCCAGCCAGGAGACACCAGGCCCAAGTGTATCACCAGCAGGTTAGAGGCTGTGACAAAGAGTTATTAAGTAGTAAAATCCAATAAGCCCTAATTCTAAAGGTTAGCATGATGCTTTTTGCATTTTTTATTGCGTCTGTTTATGCATTTCACAATTAAGTTCCAGACAGAGATGAGGGTGATATAGATTCAGAGTCAGACTCTGGGGAGGAAGACAGTGAAGCAGAAGGAAATGGCACTGAACTCCCCCCATCCAGCACAACCTATTGCACACCAAAAGGACCAGTTGGTAGGCACACACTTCCCATGTTATGCTACAGAAACTTAACTAATTACAACTTAACTTATTGAGATGTCTGCCCAAAAATACTCTTAAAATACTTAATATAATTACCTAATATTTATTATATTTACATTTCAATTTTCGCTGTTCCATAGTGCTGTTTAATGTCTTGTTTGGTCATGGCAAATCTTTGTTAAATAAACCATTTTAACTTGAGCGTGTGTGAGAAAATATTTTTTTCCTTTCGTTCGTCATTTTTATATGGACCCCTCTGATAAAGCCTTGCTCACCCTTTGGCCACCCCTTGAAAAAAAGTCTAGCTCCGCCACTGAAGATAGCTGCATGAAGTGAAATTTCTACTCAGTTAGGTTTAATTAAAATTCTGTCTTATTAGGTCAACATACATTCTTAATTTGAGTTTTTAGTTTTTTTTTACTTAATTTAGGTCAAAATCATCGCTTTCTATAAAATCTGAATTACAAACTTCTTGAAAAACTGATAAATTTAGCTGTAAGAATTAGAGTATTTTTTTTTTCTTTTGAAAAAAAAACATTTAGCAGATGAAAACTGGGATTCTATCTCAATACCACTGAAGCTATCACCTTATTGTTTTTAAATAATTGTTAAAACAGAATTAGATCCAAAAGAACCTAGTAACCATGTCTGTTCCAGCACATATCATCATTAGAATTGTTCTGAGTATTATGTCTTCAGTACCTGTCTAGAACCGCCCATGACCTTAACTGATTATTAGTCATACCCAGTGGGGTCGACAGCACATAGACCATGTGAAAAAAGGTGCTCTGGTCAAATTAGCCTTAAAATAATTTTTAACTTATTTTTTTGGGGTTCCTCATTTTAATTTACGTCTGAACTTTAACTGGGCCACTCAAGTACACAACTATCCTTCCATTATATCTCAGCTTCTATGTTTGAACCGGCGCTTTATTCAGGTGGCTTGAAACAGGTTTTCTTCCAGGATTGTCCTGTATTCAGCTCCATCTGTTTATTCTCTGTTTATTCTTGCAGAGAAAATGCATCCCTGCAGCATGATGCTTCCACCACCATGCTTCAAAAAGGGGATGGTTTGTTTAGGGGGCTGTGCAATGTTAATGTTTCTCTTAGATATTATATAGGTTCGTAAATTGAAAAAAATGATTTCTTATTTGACCAGAGCAACATTTTCCCCCTTGTTTTGCTGTGCTTTCAGAACTTTCCTTTAAAATTCAGCTTATATAAAAGAATAAACCATAAAGTCATTACCAGCAGTGTAGTCATGTGTTTTTGCTGTTTTATGTGTTAAGAATAGAATGTGAAAATGTGTTGGTTTACATTTTTCTAAATCTTTTTTCAATTGTCTTCATCAGGTTCAACCTCAGCGGGTGTCTCACCACAGACAATAACAGCCTATGTGGGTGAAACAGTCATCCTGCCGTGTCGCATCGATGTTAATGGAGAACTCCCCACGCTGGAGTGGTCCAAGGAGGGGTTATCCCCTTCAAACATTACCTTACTGTACCGACAAGGCTGTGAGACGTTTGGGATGAAAAATCTGGCATTCCTTTACAGGACAAACCTTTTGCTGAACAACCTAAAAGATGGCAACATCTCTCTGATTATCTACAACCTGAAACTGTCCGATGGGGGTACGTACCACTGCAGGACCCTCAGGGGGAAGCAGTGGCAGATTCATGCAATCCTGATCCTAAATATGGGTAAGTCTCAGCATTATAAATGGATGCAGGCGTCAAAAATTACATCCAGTATAATGTTAAAAACCGTTTTTTTCCCCCTGGCATGTTTGGCGATAAAAACCTAAAAGAATTCTATTTTTCCAGGTGCTGTTTCGGAACCAAAGCTCACATTTGTTCACACCACTGCTGGTGGTGGATTGACCCTAGAGTGTAAGGCTGAATGCTGGTTCCCTGAGCCTGAGATAACGCTGCACGATGATGAAGGGAATGAGCTTCTGGCGGAAAGCATGAAAAGATCTACAGCCACAGCAGAATGCTTCACTGTCACCAGGAGAGCGACTGTAAAGACTCACGTCAGCAGGTAAATCCAGTTTGTGTTTAAAAGAAGATTTTTTAAATACAAATATTCTAATGATTCTATTTGCAGCCTTTTGGTATTTAATTCAACTTAGAAATTCACACGATACATTTTTTAAACTAGACATCATATCTGGGCAGTCAGAGGAACAATGTGTTCCAGCTCTCCACCGCTCCCCAGTTTCCATTCATTTCTGATGCTCCAAGAATCTATATTGAAAAAAAAAAAAAATTTTGGCATTTACTTTAGTTACTTTAACAAAAACTTTTAATTTTAGCATGGCAAGGCATGAAACAATTGTTTTAAGGTAACTAAATACAGGCTCTTCTAATCTTAGCATATTGTGATAAAGTTCATTATTTTCCATAATGTAATAATAAAACTTAAACATTCATATATTTTAGATTCATTGCACACTAACTGAATCAATTTTATTGTCTTAATACGGATGATTTTGGCATACAGCTCATGAAAACCCAAAATTCATATCTCACAGAATTAGCATATCTTGAAAAAGGTCTCTAAACGAACTCTGCACCTAATTATCTGAATCAACAAATTAACTCTAAACACCTGCAAAGGATTCCTGAGGTCTTTAAAACTCCCAGCCCGGTTCATCACTTAATACCCCAATCATGGGTAAGACTGCTGACCTGACTGCTGTCCAGAAGGCCATCATTGACACCCTCAAGCAAGAGGGTATGACACAAAAAGATATTTCTGATCGAATAACCTGTTCCCAGAGTGCTGCATAAAGGCGCCTCAGTGGGAAGTCTGCACAACGAGAAGAGGTGACCGGACCCTGAGGAAGATTGTGGAGAAGGGCCGATTCCAGAACTTGGGGGACCTGCGGAAGCAGTGGACTAAGGGCCGGATTTATCAAGATCCAATTTTGCGTGCAGTAATTTGCGCTCGCAAACTGGAATTTTGCGCGAGGGGCTGAACCATGGATTGCGGGTGATTTAACAAGAGTGATTGCGTAACTGGTGGCAGGTGCAAAACTGTTGGAGACGCCCTATTTAAATGATGGTTTTGCGCGTTTTGTGGTTTGCGGCAAAGTAGTTTGTAGTCTGTACAAACTAGTGCATTAAGAAATTTAAATCTTACAGTGACCCCCCCCAAAAAAAAAACATATATATATATATATATATATATATATATATATATATATATATATATATATATATATATATATATATATATATATATATATATATATATATATATAAATTGGCAACCTTTATTCCCTAAGGTGGTATGTGGCTGAATTTCTACTTCACTGCAGTAAAAAACAGGTGTTTTGTATTGGCCTGTGACTGTGGATGAGATTACTACGCGTATGCATCCCCGCAGCATTTGGCACGTTGCTCCACAGGCGCAGGGGGAGAACCCCGACCCCGTCGGACAGCACTTCGGACAGCACTTCTGAAAAAACGAGATTGGGAGATCCCAGCTCTCGCTGCAACCGTACGCTGGAATGACCCAGATGCAAAAAAGTGCAACGTTGCAAGGAGTTTTGTGATATCTGGTATTGCGTGGGTCCTCCTTGTGGCTGGCTCCAAATCCATTCGGAGTTCCCCCGACAGCTCCAAAATGGCAATGCAGGATAAACGATATGTTTTGATGATCGTTTCCTCCTTCATTCCAAAAATATTCACACGGAGTGAAAAAATGCGTTCTCTGCGTCTCCTTGCTTCATTTCGATGTCTCCTTCTTGCGACAATAACCGCTGCCATGTGTGCGCAATTACGCATACAGACCATTTGCACTTTCTTTTGAAACGTGTTAAATATAGAGTCAGATACCGTTAGCAAAATTGCTTTCAGGTTTAATAAATCACTTTGCGAGTGCTAAATTAATATATTTACATGTTCTCCTCCCACAAGACGCACTTTTGCGTGTAAACGCCCCATATTGCATATTCATTGCAGAAAAAGTACTAAATGGATAAGAGGCGCTATTTAGCACATTTTAAAGACCAAATCCTTTAAGCACGCTGTTGATAGATCAGTTTGTACATTTTTTTAGCGTGCGCAGTGAAATAGCTCACGTTTTTATACACGCAAACCTTTGATAGATCCGGCCCTAAGTCTGGAGTAGAAACATCCAGAGCCACCGTGCACAGGCGTGTGCAGGAAATGGCCTACAGGTGTGGCATTCCACAGGTCAAGCCACTTTTGAACGGCAGAGCCGCCTGACCTGGGCTACAGAGAAGCAGCACTGGGCTGCTGCTCAGTTTTGCATGTCATTTGGAAATCAAGGTGCCAGAGTCTGGAGGAAAACTGGGGAGAAGGAAATGCCAAAATGCCAGAAGTCCAGTGTCAAGTCCCCACAGCCAGTGATGGTCTGGGGCGTCATGTCAGCTGCTGGAGTTGGTCCACTGTGTATTATCAAGGGCAGGGTCAATGCAGCTAGCTATCAGGAGATTTTGGAGCACTTCATGCTTCCATCTGCTGAAAAGCTTTATAGAGATGGAGATTTAATTTTTTCAGCACGACCTGGCACCTGCTCACAGTGCCAAAACCACTGATAAATGGTTTACTGACCATGGTATCACTGTGCTCATTTGGCCTGCCAACTCTCCTGACCTGAACCCCATAGAGAATCTGTGGGATATTGTGAAAAAAAGTTCAGAGATGCAAGACCGAACACTCTGGATGAGCTAAAGGCCACTATGGAAGCATCCTGGGCTTCAATAACACCTCAGCAGTGCCACAGGTTGATTGCCTCCATGCCACGCCGCATTGAAGCAGTCGATTCTGCAAAAGGATTCCCAACCAAGTATTGAGTACATAACTGTACATAAGTCTCTTCTTCTCTGTATCTCGCGGGAACCCCTAAAACCTGGTAACGTAGTTTCAAAATAAAGTCCCTTAAAACAAGGTAAAAATGTAAAGCATTGTAAATTCACAAAAATAATAGCTTGTAATAATTCCACATTTTAATATGTATTGTAGCAAAATTAGACATTGGGTCATTTACACTAATACTTCCTATTTTCAGGTTATTATGTTATGTGTCTATGTTATGTGCTGTGTCCCGTGAAGACTCCCCAGACAAGCTACGTAGGAAGACAAGCTGAATCTTGTCTTCCTGCAGCAACATCTATAGGCCTGTGAGCGCTTCCATGTTTTGATTGAGATTCTCAGATGGCCGTAGTAAGTTACAGCTGCTCTGTTTTAAATTTTAGCTTCAGTTTCTTAGTCTACAACATTTTTTTTTTCATTTTTAATCTGCTGAATGTGCAAACAAGGCACATTCAGCACTACTCACCTTTTTTTTCTTCCTACTTGTTAACAAAGACATGAAGGATGAAGTAACTCAGGATTTCTTTCTACCACTATTAGCAACAGTAGAAAGTGCAAGCTGTTTTCCATTGGTTTACTGCTTTCCTTTGTTGCCCACTAGATTTCTGTGTTTTTAAAAAAAGTATTTTGTGGGTGCTGTTGTTGGTTCACAGCAGCTATGCTGATAAGCTTGTTCTTCCTTTTCATCCATTTAAGCAATGACTGCAGAACTGATACTTTGTAACACCAAAAATGCCTTTTAAAAATTACTAAAGCATCCCTACAGCTACATCCACATTTTTAGTATCAACCTTTCCACTTTCAATGTGTTGCATCATTCCTGTAAGCTGAAATAATACAGTTTTTCCTGTATAATATAAGTTTAGTGAGTTCCTCAGCTGTGTCTTTTGGCGCCATCTTGTGGTAAAACCTTTGTAATGACTCACAAACTACTGGACTAAGGAGGAGAAAAAAATATTCACTGTCTTCCTAAATAAAATGTATTCGTACATGTAGAATCAGCAGGCACATGGTGAGGGAATATATATATATATACATATACACTACCGTTCAAAAGTTTGGGGTCACATTGAAATGTCCTTATTTTTTAAGGAAAAGCAGTGTACTTTTCAATGAAGATAGCTTTAAACTAGTCTTAACTTCGAAGAAATACACTCTATACATTGCTATTGTGGTTAATGACTATTCTAGCTGCAAATGTCTGGTTGTTGGTGCAATATCTACATAGTTGTATAGAGGCCCATTTCCAGCAACTATCACTCCAGTGTTCTAATGGTACAATGTTTTTGCTCATTGGCTCAGAAGGCTAATTGATTATTAGAAAACCCTTGTGCAATCATGATCCCACATCTGAAAACAGTTTAGCTCGTTACAGAAGCTACAAAACTGACCTTCCTTTGAGCAGATTGAGTTTCTGGAGCCTCACATTTGTGGGGACAATTAAACACTTAGGGCCGGATTTATCAAAGGTTTGCGTGTATTAAAACGTGAGCTATTTCACTGCGCACGCTAAAAAATGTACAAACTGATCTATCAACAGCGTGCTAAAAGGATTTGGTCTTTAAAACGTGCTAAATAGCGTCTCTTATCCATTTAGTACTTTTTCTGCAATGAATATTCAATATAGGGCGTTTACACGCAAAAGTGCGTCTTGTGGGAGGAGAGCATGTAAATATATTAATTTAGCACTCGCAAAGTGATTTATCAAACCTGAAAGCAATTTTGCTAACGGTATCTGACTCTATATTTAACACGTTTCAAAAGAAGGTGCAAATGGTCTGTATGCGTAATTGCGCACCCCTGGCAGCGGTTATTGTCGCAAGAAGGAGACATCGAAATGAAGCAAGGAGACGCTGAGAGCGCATTTTTTCACTCCGTGTGAATATTTTTGGAATGAACGAGGAAACGATGATCAAAACATATCGTTTATCCAGCATTGCCATTTTGGAGCTGTTGGTGGAACTCCGAATGGATTTGGAGCCAGGCACAAGGAGGACCCACGCAATACCAGATATCACAAAACTCCTTGCAACATTGCACTTTTTGCATCTGGGATCTCCCAATCTCGTTTTTCAGAAGTGCTGTCCGACGTTCTAAATGCCATGTCGCCCTGACGCCCTACCGGAGAACCCCGGCACCCTGCGCCTGTGGAGCAACATGCCAATGCAGTCATCTTATCCACAGTCACTTCTTGTGAGCCATTTAGTATGTGCATTTTTCTACAGGCCAATACAAAACACCTGTTTGTTTGTTTTTTTGTTTGTTTTTTTCTTACTGCGGTGAAGTAGAAATTCAGCCACATACCACCTTAGGGAATAAAGGTTGCCAAAGTTTATATATATATATATTTAAATATATATATTTCTTTTTTTGGAGGGGGTGGGGGTGTCACTGTAAGATTAAAATTTCTTAATGCACTAGTTTGCACAAACTACAAACTACTTTGCAGCAGACCACAAAACGTGCAAAACCATCATTTAAATAGGGTGTCTCCAACAGTTTTGCACCTGCCACCAGTTACGCAATCGCTCTTGTTAAATCACCCGCAAACCATGGTTCAGCCCCTCGCGCAAAATTCCAGTTTGCGAGCGCAAATTACTGCACGCAAAATTGGATCTTGATAAATCCGGCCCTCAAAATGGCCAGAAAAAGAGAACTTTCATCTGAAACTCCACAGTCTATTCTTGTTCTTAGAAACGAAGGCTATTCCATGTGAGAAATTACTAAGAAATTGAAGATTTCCTACAACAGTGTGTACTATTCCCTTCAGAGGACAGCACAAACAGGCTCTAACCAGAGTAGAAAAAGAAGTGGGAGGCCGAGTTGCACAACTGAGCAAGAAGATAAGTACATTAGAGTCTTTAGTTTGAGAAACAGACGCCTCACAGGTCCCCAACTGGCATCTTCATTAAATAGTACCCGCAGTAGCCTGTTTGTGCTGTCCTCTGAAGGGAGTATTATATATAACGTATCACACCAATATGACAAATTATTAGTTTTTTATTTATTAGACCTGTTTCTTTAGATAGGGAAATGCCAAAATTACTTACAAAAATGCAGGTTTAATCAAGTGATCATCTCTCCCTCCTCGTTGTCTGTCCATGCATTTCTTGCCTCCTTCAGTTTCCCTCTCACTGACTCCTTTATTGTTCATGAGAAACAAAACTTTGGTTTGGTTTTGATTATACTGGATTATGTTGTTACAGGAAAACATGTGCTGTTTATATGAATGGTATATTAATATAAAAATGATACAGTCATGTTATTAAGGCTTTTTATAAAGTTTAAGAATAAGAAGTAAAACCTACTCATGTCTTTCTTCTTCAGAGTGACCTGTACAGTCCATGGGAAAATGCTGAATCAGACCAAGAAAACTGAGATTTTTATTCCAGGTAAGCTGAGTCCAATTCATTTCTGTGTTATGCGGTTGAGCCAGATTATAAATTTGCTCAATTTAATCCAAGTATTAGTTATCTTCTGTGGTCTAAAATTATGGTCTACAACCTTTAACTGTACACCAAGACCTTTAACAAAAAACCAAAGGATGATAGAGTCCCCTTAAATTGTACCCGAGTCACAGTAGCACTACTTGAACATTTAAAATTTGAGTAAAAGTAGAAATTAGACATCCAAGAAATTACTCAAGTAACAGTTTAAAAGTACTGGGGAAACGGGCTACTCGGGGACTGAGTAATTGTTGGCTTTTTACATTGTTAATGTTTAAAATGATGTAATCAGACACAGAATTATGTGTAGTTTGTGGCATTTCAAAGTTGTCAGGTTTAGTGTATGTTTGTAGAGGACCCAAATGCAGAGATGGAAGCAGAAATGCTTCAAACAAGGAGATACTTAGGAGAAACATGCATAAAAATTGTAGTGAATTCAGCACTGAGTAACTGTAGGGAGAGAAGTATATATGGGAGAAAGAAAAATGAATGGAAATGGGCTAATCGGGGGCATGTGTGGAAAGATGCAGCTAGAAAGGAGCTAAGGGGAAAAGAAATGGGGCAACAGTGAGTAACCAGGGAAAACCACAGGGTTTAACTGTAACTAGGGACTAGAGGAAAATAGAAGGGACTGGAGGTAAGTTAAGATAACTACAAAGCCATGGAAAAAAATAACCTAAAGATGAGCGAAAGAATAACTAAAAGTAAAATTAGACCAAGGAATAAATAATACCAAAAAAGAAAAACAGGGAAGAGTAAAACTAAGAATTCAAAAATTATATAAATTTTGACAACTACACAGAATAAGATAAATAAGAGCATCACTGAGAACCCAAAATGAAAACTTAAACAGAACCAAAAAGTCCAGAATGGCAGATCATAGCAAAAGTAATAAATAAGCAATATAGTAACAAGAAATAAAGCACAGGATTTCAAAAATAATAAATTTGGGTCAAAAAACTCTTTTTCTAAATGATTTTTTTTTTTCAAAATTAACTTATAAAACCAATCTTTACAATAGATAATACATAATGATGAATATCTGAAGAGCTCCAGTCATGGCAGATTTTATTTATTTATTTTATTTAACCTTTATTTAACCAGGAAGTCCCTTGAGATTGAAATCTCTTTTTCGAGGGAGACCTGGCCAAGACGGCACACCAGTTAAAATACAAACAGAAATACAACATAGACAAAATCTCACATAGAGGAAAAGACAGGTCACATAGGGCAGTTACATTTTTGAATGACATGACATTTCAACATGGCCTTAAATTTATTCAATGGGACTAGAGCATTTAAATGGAGCATGTTTTGCAAATTATTCCAGGACCATGGAGCAAAGTAAGAGAAGGATTTCTTCCCCAGCTCAGTAAAAACCATTGGAATCTGGTAAGAGCGCCACCTGGTGGAACGGAGATGAAAATGGCTGGAATTTAGCTTGAGGAGATTGCATAAATATGCCGGCAGTTTACCCAACATGGCCTTGTATGGAAAAATATACAAATGAAGTTGTCTACGTAGACTTAGTGACGGCCAGCCTACCAGTTCATACAGCGTACAATGATGAGTACGGGAATAGGAGTTAGTTAGGAAGCGCAGAGCACTATGGTACACAGAATCTAACAGGTGGAGAGTACTAGAGGCAGCATGCATGTAGACAACATCACCATAGTCCAAAACACTTAAAAAAGTAGCCTGCACAAGTGTTTTTCTGGCTGACATGTTAAAACAAGTTTTATTTCTAAAATAAAACCCCAGCCGTAGTTTCAGCTTTTTTACAAGTTTTTCAACATGAACTTTGAAAGAAAGTTTGTTGTCCAGCCAAAAACCTAAATACTTATATGAAGAAACATTTTCAATTAAGTCTCCATTTAATGTGTTAATAGTTATATTATCTGGGGATTGGGAACGAGCCCTTGAAAACTTCATAAATTTGGTTTTCTTACTATTTAGCACTAACTTAAAGGGATAGTTCGGTATTTTTGACATGAATCTGTATGGCATCCCGATCACCAGCGGCATGCAATCACACTGACTTACCCCTGGCAGCGTCCTGTGAGCAGAGTTATCGTCCAGTTTTGGTCAAGCCGAAAGTAGTCCTGCAGGTTTTTAGGTACAGCGAAATAAAACGTTTCTCTTCCCAAAACATTATGTGTCCAAAAGAGTGATATTTTCGCATCCCAAAAACATTGTAGTGGAAAAAGTCACACGTCGTTATCAATTACAATGTTTTTGGGATGCGAAAATATCACTCTTTTGGACAAATAATGTTTTGGGAAGAGAAAAGTTTTATTTCGCTGTTCCTAAAAACCTGCAGGACTACTTTCGGCTTGACCAAAACTGGACGATAACTCTGCTCACAGGACGCTGCCAGGGGTAAGTCAGTGTGATTGCATGCCGCTGGTGATCGGGATGCCATACAGATTCATGTCAAAAATACAGAACTATCCCTTTAAGGCCATGTAGAGAAACTTGAAGCTGCTGAAAGGCCAACTGAAGGTCATGCATGGCTTGGTTCAGTGAAGAGGCAACTGAATAAATCACAGTGTCATCTGCATAAAGATGCAGTTTAGATAGAGTAAACAGAAATTTTAACCAAGTAGAAGCAACGATAATCTCACAAGATTATTTCTTAAGTAAAAGTTAAAAGTAGGTTAAAGTACTACTACTAAAACTATTTTATTTAAGTTAATTGAGCAAATGTAAGCAGTTTTTACCGACCTTTGCATACAGATAAAATGAGAATAATTTGCCAAAACATGGATGCCCTTCACATAGTCTTTGAGAGGTCTTTTATCTAGATGAAAGGTGATCTTTATAACTAGTAAAAGACCTCATCTATTTCCTTTCATACTGATAAGAGCTGATAAATCTACAGATACAGTCACTTTTCTTCAATGCAGCCGAAACTGATTATTATGGTGCAGAAACCTCCCAGGCATATCTGGAATCTCTGCAGATTGCAGCGTTAAGGAATTTTCTTTTCTTTTTCTGAAAACCGGAAACATTTGAAAAGTCGTAGAGGTTCAGATTACATTGGACTGTTAGGGCTGGGTGATATTGCTGAAGAATGTATTATGATATAAGCCTTTAACATCAGTTGATATCTATGATTACTGATTTGTGTTTATTTATTTATTTTTTTACCCATTTACAATAAGGACCACATTTAAATTGTAACTCTAACTCTATTTAAATATTGCCTCTTACCTTTACAAAGCTGTCAGCCTGATACCCACCTTTCATAGTTTTGGTTGTTAAAGGTTAGGATGCTAAAACCTTTCCTCTGCCTACATCCCCCAGAATACCATGCAGTTCTGGATTTGCATTCCGTGGTATTATTGAACCTTTTATCTGACGTATTTTATATATTGATATTGATCAGGTTTCTATCATGATATATATTGATATTGATTTATTGCCTGTTTTTTGATTCTTTGATACTGTGACGTATTTTAGCAACTTCCGCAATCTATATAGTGATAAAACTCTGTGACATTAGTTTTATTGGCCTTCAGTCGTATTTTCAAATTATCTGTGTCATTTCTAGACCTTCACATTTATAATTTTACTATAAATTATCATGATATCCTGTGTAAACTGTATGTATCATAATATTCTCTATTTGTCTATTATATCTTTAGGTCACTGTATGCAGTCTTGCTTAAACTATGGATTCATCACTGGAATCATTGTTCTTGTTCTGACAAGTGGAACGGCTGTCTGTATACACCAAAAACTTTGGGGTAAGTAAGAAAATTTAAAGTATTTAATTTAGCGATCAAAGTTTTATCACTTTCTCTACCTTTGCATAGATTCTTACTTTAGAGGAATGTTAGCTAATGTCTCAACCTTAATCGTCACACTGTATCACTGAAGAAGTTCCTTTATGCCCACATGTCTCTTATTACCTTTTGTGAACTCATGTTTTTTAAATTATAAATATACACCTGTATACACACATACATATACAGACATATACACACATTTATATATATATATATATATATATATATATAAATAAGTATGTATGTATGTATGTATGTATGTATGTATGTGTGTATATATATATATATATATATATGTATGTGTGTATATATATATATATATATATGTATGTGTATATATATATATATATATTATGTATGTGTATATATATATATATTATGTATGTGTATATATATATATATATATTATGTATGTGTATATATATATATATATATATATGTATGTGTATATATATATATATATATATATATATATATATATATATATATATATATGTATGTATATATATATATACATGTATGTATTTATATGTATATGTATGTATGTATGTATGTGTATATATAAAATATATATATGGACGATAACAGAAAAGAAAAAAAAGCCTGAAAAAAAAAGCCTATGAAAGCTAAATGTAACAATGAAAAAAATCTATTGCATATTAAAACCTTTTGCCACCTAATATATGTTTGAAAAGTCACATGTGGATGTTTTTCTTCTGTATTCACACAGAGAGGAGACGAAACTGCTGTCTAAGAAGAAAAAAATCAGATTCATACAAAAATGACGAAGAAAAGGCAGAAAAAAGACCGAAATCCAAACACAATGGTACCTCAGAGCCAGAGAAGAGGACACATGATTCGGGATCCTCAGAGCAAGTAACCCTATGCTCAAGTGACAGCAGATCCCTGGAGGGACAGTCAAGAACATCCCCCAACCCTCATAATACAGACAGACCAAAAAATACATCTTCCAAGGCATCTCATCTGCTCCCACCTGCTAGACTTCAGAGAAACCTAAGTTACCGATCAGATAAAAGTGAGGATTCTGAGTCACTGCTCCAAGGGGGCCCAATAACTGAAGAACAGGATAACAGTCTGCCAAACAGCAGTTAAAAAACAGCTGATCAGAACTTTTTAGGCAGGGCTTCCCTTTAGTTTTTCTTATCCCCCTTTTTCAGTCTACAATGAATTAATTACATGGTTTACATGGTGGCACAGCTTGTTTTCTCTGTGGCCTTGTGGTAAGAGGGTTAAAATGGTGGGCTTTCAGTGTGGAGTTTCTATGTTCTGTCCAGATACTGTTGCTTTCCCCCTCAATCCAAAGATTTGACGGTTTAGTTGTACCAGGCTGTTGCTCAATGACTGCTGGAGATGTGTTACCAGTCCCATTGCAACCCTGCCAGAATAAGTGTATAATGTATATAATTACTATATATATATATATATATATATATATATATATATATATATATATATATATATATATATATATATATATATACACAATGTATATAGTTAGTGTGTATATATATATTTAATGTACAGTATATAATAAGTGTTTATATTTTAGCTTTTGATCTCTGGGTGTTTTACAAATGCATACATACATGGAAGGATGTGGAAAAACAAATGTTACCTAAAACTATCAACAGTTACAAATAAAACATTCAGTGTAGTGTAAATCCAATTAAAAAAATACTTTAGTCAGGGGGAAAAATATTAACTTAATATTATATTTTCATGGTCTTTGCAATTATATTCTGGGCTATCTGTTGTTCAATATCTACATGCTCCCCTTGGCTCAGATTATAGCAAGCAAGATCAGTTACCATAACTATGCAGACGACACACAGCTTTACATCTCAATACCACCAGGTGACTGAACCCATCAGAGGGTTGGCTAGATATTTAGAGCATCAGTGTGGATGCACCATCATTTTCTCTAATTGAATAAAAACAAAAATGCTCTAAAACCCCCTCTCAGCCAACTGGCCTTACAGGACCCCTCCCAGAGGTCTGACTTGCACTTGAATTTTGCATTGTGAATTGGTCCGAAAACCTTCCAGTTTCTATAAATTAGTGAAAAGCTAATTTGATCATATCCCTAATTCTTCCAGATAAAGTTTGGTTTTCAAACACAAAATCCATCTTAAGCTGTAATATGGTTTTCAACCATGTTTCCCCTTCGTCTTTGTACATATTAGTTTAGTTGAGTTTCACTAGTTTTAGTCAAGAGTTTTTACCTGAAATTTGTTTGACTTGGAGATGAATGATTTTTGTTAATAAAATCTTATATTTTGAACAGAAGTTGTGGTGAATTTATTCCATGTATGTGCAGAATTAACAGTTTGACCATGATTAGAGCTCGAATCACTCTTTTATTTATTGTTCTAACACACAGCTAGAAGGGCATGAGTTCATAAACAATATATAACATCGCGATTAATATCTGATTAAATAAGATATTTACCACCCTTACCGGGGAGGGCAATAAACATCTTAAAGTATCAGAACATAATATGAATGCCCAGCTGGCTGGGAATTCATTATAACATTTATTCACAACATAGCCAAAGTTTTTGTGCTGTGATGGATTCAGACCTGAACCTTCAGAAGCACAAAAAAGCAGTTACTGAGTCAGCCTTTTAGAGAGAGAACATCTCCAGGATTATTGGAATAATGTCCAACCAGACCACTCAGGTCTGGGAGGTTATTTTTCTTCCGTTTTAATGTTAATTCATGTAAATTACTTTGAATTGTAATTGTTTGGAATAGTGGTATATAAATAAACTTACCTTACCTTGCCTATATGAAACATTACGTGGGATATATATATATATATATACACTCACCGGCCACTTTATTAGGTACACCCGTCCAACTGCTTGTTTACACTTAATTTCTAAGCAGTCAATCACATGGCGGCAACTCAGTGCATTTAGGCATGTAGACATGGTCAAGACAATCTCCTGCAGTTCAAACCGAGCATCAGTATGGGGAAGAAAGGTGATTTGAGTGACTTTGAACGTGGCATGATTGTTGGTGCCAGAAGGGCTGGTCTGAGTATTTCAGAAACTGCTGATCTACTGGGATTTTCACGCACAACCATCTCTAGGATTTAGAGAGAATGGTCCGAAAAAGAAAAAACATCCAGTGAGCGGCAGTTCTGTGGGCGGAAATGCCTTGTTGATGCCAGAGGTCAGAGGAGAATGGCCAGACTGGTTTGAACTGATAGAAGGGAGACAGTGACTCAAATAACCACCCGTTACAACCAAGGTGGGCAGAAGAGCATCTCTGAACGCACAGTATATCGAACTTTGAGGCAGATGGGCTACAGCAGCAGAAGACCACACCGGGTGCCACTCCTTTCAGCTAAGAACAGGAAACTGAGGCTATAATTTGCACAAGCTCATCGAAATTGGACAATAGAAGATTGGAAAAACGTTGCCTGGTCTGATGAGTCTCGATTTCTGCTGCGACATTTGGATGGTAGGGTCAGAATTTGGCGTCTACAACATGAAAGCATGGATCCATCCTGCCTTGTATCAACGGTTCAGACTGGTGGTGGTGGTGTCATGGTGTGGGGAATATTTTCTTGGCACTCTTTGGGCCCCTTGGTACCAATTGAGCATCGTTGCAACGCCACAGCCTACCTGAGTATTGTTGCTGACCATGTCCATCCCTTTATGACCACAATGTACCCAACTTCTGATGGCTATTTTCAGCAGGATAATGCGCCATGTCATAAAGCTGGAATCATCTCAGACTGGTTTCTTGAACATGACAATGAGTTCACTGTACTCAAATGGCCTCCACAGTCACCAGATCTCAATCCAATAGAGCATCTTTGGGATGTGGTGGAACGGGAGATTTGCATCATGGATGTGCAGCCGACAAATCTGCTGCAACTGTGAAATGCCATCATGTCAATATGGACCAAACTCCATGAGGAATGCTTCCAGCACCTTGTTGAATCTATGCCACGAAGAATTGAGGCAGTTCTGAAGGCAAAAGGGGGTCCAACCCGTTACTAGCATGGGGTACCCAATAAAGTGGCCGGTGAGTGTATATATATATATATATATATATATATATATATATATATATATATATGTCTAAGATGTTATTATTTCATTCATGCAATCTTTTGTACTGGAAAATTATGATTTAATTTTCTTACATTCTTAATTCAGGGATACCAAAGTAAACTCATAAAAAAGACAGCAGAGATTAATACCCAGCTACCCTGTATTAGTCTGTCCATAGACTTCCTGCCAGAACACACTGTGTTGAAATCTAAATTGAAATCTATGACTCTTCTTTATGTACCCAATACAAAAAGGACAAGTTCACAGAGTCTATCAAAATGCATTCATAAAAGCAAATAAAAATAAAAGTAAAAAGTTATAGATAGTAGAGCATCGTTTAACATGGAAGCTGAAATGGTTCAAATTGGGGAATATTATGAAGGTTTTATAAATTCTGACATATTAAGAGACATGTGCACACAAAAAAAAACTGTCATACATGAAAAACTATTCATAGCCTTTGAATTTCTGGTAACGCTGTAACCACAAACCTCCGTGCTTTTGGGGATTTTTCATGTGACTTAGCAACACAGAGTTTTGCGTAACTGAAATGAAAAAAGGAGAAGAAAGATTCCGTGAAACCAAAAATCCAAAACGTGTGACCCTTTTACTCCAGTGCATCTGATTGCTTTCATATGCACCTAGTACATGGATAGTTTGCTTAAATATGGCTTAATCTCAGTAAGCTTCTTTAAAGGTTATCACAGGTTGGTTAGATAACATCAATGATCAAACTGCATCATAAAGACCAACAAAGACAGGTGACAGTTTAGGGAAGAGCTGCAACCCACCTCCACCCCTCACCACCCTGCTCTAACTCCAGCTCAGTTTCTCCCTATGATCTCTATTTATTCACTGGATTGCTGATAGGCCGAAAAAAATGAAGTCACTTGCCGCCATCTTGGTACTTCCCCCTCTCACGGAGTCATGCCATAAAAATGCAAGAATTGCAATGTAATTACCATAACAATGTAATCAATACGTATATATTACATGTACATTATCAATTTAGAAGTTTTGGCACATCATCAGACAGTGTGTGTGTTTAATATTCTTAATATCGGACTAAAGTATTATTATGCTCCGTTAATGCACTAATTTTGTTGTGATGGAATTGTATATGTTATATTACATGATTTATAGACTTCACACTGAATATGAAACATGAATGTGATGTGCCTATTTTTACAATAAATTACAGTAATCTACTGATGCTATGAAACAACAAGTGTGTGTCAAAGTGATGATTTTATCTGTATTTTGAAAGTCTTAATCCCCCCTGAAAATTAGAAAATCCTCGTTGTTCGATGCTGTAGTGCACGTATTGTTTACATACCAACCAGTCTAACTAGGGAGCACCAATATGGCAGCTGCTGACTTCACAGCCCCATTCACTACCAATGCCTCTCAGCAATCCAGTGGCTAAATAGAGATCAGGGATTTCTCCTGGGAGGCCTCCTTATTCTCATAAACCTTCCCATTCTGTCATCAATGCTCAGCTCAACATCTCCTGGGGTCTGAGTGCCAAAATATCTTATTTTTCTTCATGTCAATAAACCTGCTAATTGCCTGCCTGTGGCTCTTTCAAGGATAAAATAATATTTGATTAAAAAGTAGAATGATTTGGGCTCAATGGTGATGCAGGTGTAGAGCATGCAACCCATGTGCTGAGGCCTTAGTTGTCATGACTCTGCACTTTTTGGTTCTGTTGAAGTTTTCTTTTTGAGTTTTTGGTTATACTTTTTTATTCTTGTCTTTCTGTGTTTTCTAGTTTATTGGGTTCATTTCCATTTTGTGTTATTAGGCCAGAGCAGCGAAGCGCTGCAAAGGCCTATTGTAATTCTAGTTGTTAGTTGTATGTTTTAGTTCTTTTGTATTTCTTGAGTTACTCTCTGTTGCCCCCTTGTGTTTATTTTCTTCCCATTGGCTTTTTTCTAGATGCTTCCATCCACACCTGTTCCTTGTCAGCTCATTAGTCCAGTCTTTGTTTTGTCTATTTCACATACTCTCCCTGTGCAGTTCATCAGTTCTGGTCCCTCGTCTTTCCCCATCTCCTCGTGAGTATTTACTCTGGTGTCCCCTTAATCCTGGCTTACTGTTTTCGGTATTTTGGATTTTTGGATTTCTGCCTCAATAAACCTGCAAGACGCACCTCTGCCTCTTGGTCTCTGCATTTGGATCCTCAAAAACCTCCACTTGCCGTGACATTAGTACTTGGTGCAGCCATCCAAGGTTTGAATCCTGACCTGAAGACATTTACTTCTCCCATTTTTATCCCATCTTTGACCATCTGCTGACACTATTTCTGCAAATCTGTATGAACCTTTAGAGGAATTTTAGTTTGGCCTTTGTTACCTCTTTAG